ATAAATAATATTTTTAGTACTATTGAAGATGTGTAGAATAATCCAGCTCTTAACTCTAAAACGGCTGGAGCATTAAATGAGTGAACTTATCAGTTTACTGTTATTGTATCATTTATTCAAGCTGCACTAAAAAATCTTCCCTTTTGATTGTCTTCATTTATTAGCACGTTAAAAAGAGAAAGTCTTGCTAGTGTGGATAGAAAAGAAGACGGCAAGTGGGAAGACATCCTAATATCATATTTATAGTGAAACATTTGGATGTGCTCTTCGAAATTATGTATGTCGAATGCTCAAGATTGGTTTGTATATCTCTAAAAAAGTTGGATGATGATATTAAGTTATGGAGAGAATGTAATGATGGTATATATTATACACGAAAATTTCTTAATCCAGAAAAAGACCAATTTGGAATCGTTTGGATACAAATAGCAGGAGATACTTTATATCTGAATGTTCTTATCAGAGATACAATGAATATTCATAAATATTATAATATAGAAATGGTAAAAATCCCTGTACAAAAGTCAGATGAGACCATCGTAATTAAATTTGTAGAAACTCTTCTCTTTTTACGTAACATGTTAATTACAAATTTGTCTTTACTATATTATGGATCAGTATGTAGATCTGAAAGGCAAAAGGAAGGCAGTATGATTATAGATACTGAATAATATTCTTTCTTTCCTGTATTTTATTCTTATCAATAAAAAATTAAAACCTGATCTGATTTCGTATAAATGATGCATTTTTGGAATTTATTGCTATTGATGTTACGTATATATAATCGTAAATTTTGAAGTGTTATATGAAACTAATTTGCATTATAGTGCTATTTTTTTTCTTTATTACTATAGAGACTAATCTAGAAAAACTAAGTTTTTAGAAAACTGGTAAATAATTGAAAGCCTGTTAATGCACTCAGAAAACAAACTAAATACGAAAAATAATTGAAAGTTTTCTTTGTACAGTGTTCATATATTTGTAAATTTTATTTTAAATTTAATAAAACATTATTCAGGTTTTGAACTTTCTATTTTTTATAGTATACAATTAATATAAACATCATAACTTGCAATAGTGTAAAAAACAAATCGATCTTCATTTTTTTGTCTAATATAACTAAGTTTTTGTTAGTACAAGCAAATCCGCCTTCTCTATTATCCCTTCTATTACTACACTGCATGTTAGATAAGCTGTGCTAGTCTTTCTTTCTAGCAAAATACTTTGCTTAACAAAATTATGACAAACCAGATCTGCTAATGCTAATTCCGCTAGTATTTTAGTACATAATATGGTCAGTTTTTTTCAATTGATCAAGTCTAATAAGTTTAATTTTCTACTTCGAAGTTATGTATTATTTAAGCAACAAAAAACTTCAACTATATCTAAAGAAATAATTGCCTTATTATTGTTTTCACATAATACCTTAACAACATTTAGTAGGTCTAAAATATCCGTTAGCGCATTATCTTGTTTTACATTATCTTTTGTGCATCTAATACAATTATTACATGAATTGCAAGTTGGTAGAACCAGGTCACTTGGCTATGCGTGATATTGTAATACTAACTAGAATCAGCACTCATAGGAGGTAAGACAGTAGTACATTACCTCAAATAACTTATGTCATGCTTTGGCTAGATAAAGTTCTCTAGTTGCTGTTTGTTTATCATAATCTTCATTACTACAATTAGAGCATGATTAATAAATAAAATTATTCAAAAAATTCTCAATGCAGCGATATAACAAATTATATCTCTCTATTATTCGCAATAACAGAATAATTAGTATGAATATCCTTGCCAGAATAAAGAATTACGCATCTGGAATTTCGCTTATCCTGTCTAGCCCGACCCAATTCCTGAATTAGACGAGCTATTTATGAAGATATTGAGTATTATTGCTTTTAATAAAATTTTACTTATCAAATATACTTACTCATATCCATCAGAAAATTATAATGCAATACTAGACAAATATCAGGTATATCTATACCCATCTCAAAGGCTGACGTTGCAATCATCAAACGTATTTGACCTGTAGTCTATCTTTTTATCACATCATTCTTTTCACTATCTAGCAATTGACCATTATAAACATCTATTATTTTTTCTATCTTTTGATCTAACGCCTCAAATACTTTAAGACAGTCCTTAACGCGAGCACAATAAATTATCGTATGACCAGTTTCTTCTACACTATCAATCAAACTCACTATTTGGTCTACTCAAGCAGCCTTATTGTCTTTTCGACTTTGAACTGAGAAACATAGCTCTGAACAAAATAAATCATTTTCCCTTACAACCCTAAAGTTGTTTTCATCAATATTTAAATCATTCCGAAGAGCTATTGCATTATCATAAGATAAAGTTGCAATAAGAGCCATGATCTGAATATTAGGAAAATATCGTTTTAACTTTCCTAAATTTCCCTATTCATTTCTATTAAAAAGATTTTTAACAGACAATTTGTTAATAATTTTAACTGTTTATTCATATTTATCTTTTTCTTACCTAAAGTGATGAAAATCAAAAACACAATGGGCTTCATCAATTACAAATTACAGTTTTTTGTTATTATGTAGGCAACTACATAATTTCATGAGTGACTATTTAAGTAATAGCTTCTCAGGAGTGACATAAAGTAAACGGATGAATCCAAGAGCTATTTCTTTAAAAATCTTCGTTTTGTACTCGATTGTCCCTTGAGAAGATGCTAGCAAGTAACTACATGGAATTTCTAGTTTGATTAAATCATTCTAAATGAAAATTTGATTAGATATATGATTGTTATTTATTGAATTTTTAATTAGATTTATATATATAACACTTGGCTTTGAATCAAAGATTTCAATGGTGAAATAACTATTGTTAAGCATCAAAGAAAATAGCGGAAGCCACATAGCAAAAAGATTTTCCGCTACTAGTTTTCATAATTATAAGCGTATCTTTTTCATCTTCCATATAATATTTTATTGCATCTACTTGTTCTGGTTTTGGAAATTTAAATTTAAAAATGTTTTCTGCAATTATTTTAACACACTGGGCTAAACCTTGAGGTTGGTTTATTTCACTTTGTTGCATTTCATTTTCTATTTTATCTACTAATATTTCATTTTCTATTGCATCTTGTTGCATTTCATTTTCTATTTTATTATCTTGTAACATTTAAATATCTATTTCATCACACAATATTTCATTATCTCTTTCGTCTTATAACGTTTTGTTGCCTATTTCATTTCGTATTTTATTCAAAATTAAAAATCTCTTGTTCCAACCAAATAATTGAAATGTATAGCACAAAGCACACATACCCTTAAAGCATTTTTTAAAAACGTAGCATCCAATACATCTTATAGTTACATTGAAGTCCACAATCAACAGAGCAAAGGATGGATAAAACTCATTATTGAGTAGCCGTTCTAGCACTTTCTTTTTATATGGTACTAGTTCCTATATATTAAATTAATACTGATAAGCAATCATTAGATTTTTAAAACTATATAGTGTTAAGCTATTAAATACCTTGTCGAAATCGAATTCCGCCAATTCCTAATATTCATTGGCATATTTATCAGACCTAGCTTGGTTATGCTCATGAATTTTTTCTACATTTAATTTTTGTTGGGCAGAATAGCTACTTTCTATCACGCTAATATTATATATATCTTCTGATTTAAAAGGTTTTCCACAGTATATTTCTCAGATTTCAGAAAGTAAGTGAGTATACCTTTCATTATAATGTAAAACTGCCAATGCATGCCTGGCAGCATATGACTTCCAGTAGTTAATTTTTTTATCTAGATATACTAATTTGACTCTATTGAATGCCTCATTTTGAGACGTTCTATTTAGTGTTGCAATCCCCTGACCTTTAGGCAAGCGAAAATTCAACTCAAGAAAATTTTTGAATGTATCAATCTGGCTTTTAGATGAATGACAAAGAGTAGGCTCTTACAAAATTATTGTTGGGTCGTCTTTGATCCAACATACATCTGACCAACAGTATGAATGATTATTTTGCAGGTGATTAATAAGACTATTTATCTGCATTGTACGTGTTTCATCTTCTGATAGAGCATTTTGATTTTTGGCTTTTCGCACTGCCACAGAAAAAATGCATCCACAGTACCAACGCATTATATGATCTTCGAAGACTTGAAACTGCGTATTTTTGTCACCTGATAACAATAATAATTTAGATATATTTATTATTAATACTTTCGCAAAAAATATTTTTTTCCTACACTTATGATGTAAAGCATTTCTAATATTTTTGGTTAGATGTTTTAGATCAGCAAAAATGTTTTTTACAATAGGAACTTTTGCAAGCGTCTTATTCGTATCTAGGTCACTATCTACGCATACTTCTAAGTGCAAACCTGCATCTTCTAATAGTTGGCTAATTTGATTTAGTAATTCAACCAAAATAGCAT